CGTTGACTTTGTAAATAAAAAGACAATAATATTACTCTTTGGTAATCCAAATTTTAGTTTAAGAAAAACATTGCAAGAGATGTATCCATCTTATAATTAGTTTTCAAGCTGATAAAAAAGATGCTCTTTGCCATTACTTCATCCTGTTTTTCATTTTCATCTGTTGAATGTGAACAGCTGGCAACTACACTGTTTTTGTACTGAATCTATAAGTATAAAAGAGGATATTTGTATATATATTTGGCAGTGATAAACTCAGACACCGCTGAACCGATTGCCACGAAACTTGGTACATACGTGTAGAATTTCATGGAATAGGTTTATACACCATCAATTTCGTGCCCCAGTGGCTCTGGAGTTTCCCATGTTACCCTTATGAGAAATGGAATTAATGAATCTTAACAGCTATTTCAATTAAACAAGTTGGTTCTGTTCTATGATGTTCAATAGCATTAAAGTTAAAAGGATTACCAACAGAGTGCAGCACTGTTATTTCTTTTACATTTATGACAAACAGCTAATTTGCAACCAAAAGGTGAGTGAGCATAGCGAACGAACTTCAACCTGGAGGCGAGTTAGCATAGTTAACGAGCTAACCTGAAGGCAAGTGAGCGTAGCGAACGAGCTAACCTGAAGGCAAGTGAGCGCAGCGAACGAGCTCCAACCCAAAGGTGAGTGAGCGTAGCGAACGAGCTCCAACCTAAAGGTGAGTGAGCGTAGCGAACGAACTTCAACCAGGACGTGATTGAGCCATGCGAACGAGATCATCTTGAAAATTAAGAAGTTAAACGGGGCAAAGCCCGCGGGTTACAGCTCGTGCTTTTATATGTTTTTAAAAGTTTAAAAAACAACTAGACATTGTGTTGGTTGGAAATAATTTGTTTCATGGCTATTCAAAGTATCTCAGAGTAAAATAGGTAAAGCCTTTATCTTAACTGATTTTTCTTGACACAATCCTCGTAGGAGTTAAAGGTTTTAATAATGTGTGGTACAGCAATTGTTGTTAGAAAACCATGAATGTAGGATACCATCCATTCAATGTATTAAAAAATTAAAAATAATGGTTCAAATACAGTTCTGAGAAGAAAACCACAAAAATACGGGTAGCCGCGTACCGTACCGATTTTGTACCGAGAACCGAGGTACGAAATATTGTACCGTACCGAACCGTACTGACCTTATTTTCTGTACCGCAGATCCCTACATGTAAAGAATGTTATGTGCAAGTCTATGTCTATGAAAAAGTACCCGTTTTCATATGTTACGTGATTAACCCATAGGGGAAAGGAATTAATGCGCTGCCTGCAGTGCCCTAGGTCAGCAATTGATTTTACCCAATTTGTAAACTTTTACTCTAATTGTTATAGAAAACCTTAGGTACCTACCTAATAAAATAATACTTTTGCTTTGTTGTTCACAATAAAATTGTCCACACAAAGTAATTCGATAATCAAAGTGTAAAATTTAAAAAAAATTATAAATATTATAAGTATTAAAAATATTTTTTTTAAGTTTACTTAATTTACAAATTCCAATAATAATCCAGACACCGAATGACACTATTATAAAGTTCGATAGATTCCAAACATAAAAAAACACAAGTTGTTTACTTTTATAAGTAATAAATATTTTTTTAAATGGTTTGTTTTACCCAAGGCCACAGTAAAAAAACAGGCCGTAATGCTCGTCAAGCATGACGTCACGATACAAGACGGCAATGACGTAATGTTTGCCGTTTGTGATCACCTGCTTGTTTTAATCTTTCCTTTGGAAAATAAATACCTACGTCATTGCCGTATTCTATCGTGACGTCATGCTTGACGAGCATTACCGCCTGTTTTTTTAGTGTGGCCTTGGTTTTACCTTACCACAGCTCATTTTGAGTGATATCTTGTTTCCATGGCAACACCTTTGTCATTCCCGAAAATAAATTATTAAATACGCAAAACAAGAAGAAAGATAATAATAAACATCATAAAAGTAAATAAATAATAAAAAATAAAAAACAAGCATGCTTGTAAGTCGGATTTTGGGTCTGCAGCAGCCAGATGAGTAACGCTCGTAAGTCGGTGCCAATGGGTTAAAACTAGAGGTAGGTCGATACCGATACTCGATACAGAAATACTCTCGGTATCGTCGATACTCAATATTTGCCTGTTTTGGGTTCGATACCGATACTGACACTGAACCACTGAATGCTACGAATCCGTGCGGATTAAGTCAGTTCAGAGCAGGTAAATTGCCGTTGCCGTTACGAATCCTAGCGGTTTGCCTACTTAGATACTCACAACTTGAGTCGAGTAGTAGAGGTTTTTAAGCCGATTTTGTTGATATTTTACAAGTAAATAACAAGAAAGGAAAATGTTTGAGTTTTATTTCATTCCCTAACCCCTTTCAATATTGACATACTACCTAATAATAATCGGCAACCTAGACATCGCTTGCGTCATCCATTTTACTGACAGGGACAGCTGAAACTGGGTGATAGTGATAGGTAGTGGTATGCCCCGATTCGATCCAGCATGCATCTATTTGGTCACGATGCAGTTCTAAAAAGGGATGTGTCGATTATCGTCATCGATACCACCATCCATTGGTTACCACTTGGACATTGGTATCGGTACCAAGACTCGATTGTCAAAAGTCGATTCCGATGATACCGACACCCGACAGGGATAAATATTTTATTTTAACATTTATTTACTTTATAGCTACAGCATTAGTTTTATAATCACGGTTAACAATTTTCATAGCCAACTTAGAAACTATCTAGTTCAAAACAGCGACGGTGTCGGTGACATTGTTTAGCTTCAGCTCATTGCACAACACAATCTACATTTCAAGATGTCAGACTCAACTCATGAGACAACCGGTGCGCGAATGTCCTGCCAACACAAAATTAATTGTACTAAACAATGTCTGTATTAATAAGTCAGGAGTTAAGGAAAGGCCAATTGGCTGATTAGGATTATTATGTACAAGGATAGGGATCAACTAGCTTACCTGGTAGATAGAGTCCAGATTAGCCTTGATTACACATAAAACACATGACACAACACAGAAAAACTTTATATTTTTTTATTATATTATTATATTTATTTATTATATTATATTTATTATATTATTATTATTATATTTATATTACTTTATTTTATAAGTTTTTCTGTGTTGTGTCATGTGTTTTATGTGTAATCAAGGCTAATCTGGACTCTATCTACCAGGTAAGCTAGCTGATCCCTATCCATGTATTAATAAGTCAGACATTTAGCTGTATTATTTTTATTTTTAGTACAAAATAAATAACCTAAACACGTCGAAATGTTCAGTTTCATCCCTGCATTATACGCATCATTAGATAAATTATATTCAACCATTAAACTTTAACATTGTCATCATCGTATGGTTAGGCTTGCTTTATATTGCGCCAAAAAGTAGGTCCATATTTTATCTGTACTATCTACCTGATTAAAGAGTTTAGTGAAGTTTTAAGTGCTACTATGACATAATGTATTTATTGAAAAATATCATAAGCCTTAGTCCATGTCGATTTTGTAATATTATAACGAATTGTCAATGTTGACAATAATATGTAACAACAGTTCTCATTGGGCAGGAGGGACAATGCACTACCATGTCAGCCAATCGACTTTCGTGTTTCAATGGAGCAAATGACGATTGCTTAGACATCGTTTTATGTGCTTATTGTGGGTGGGAAGGGTATCGATAATTATCGTGATTCGAGATCCGATATGTAGTACGTGTTTGTTTATACATAATGAGTATTAAAGTATAAAAAACTAGGTTAGTTACAGACAGGTTCAAAACATCGATTGTTCCGATCCATTGTTGACACCCCTACACGGAGGTTATAGTGACGTCGTGCATAAGGGCCAGGCAGGCCAGTTCACAGTGAATCCACTCTGCCGAACCTTTACTCTTGGTATCATCGGGAACATAGTCAAACACTTTTGTTACTAAATAAAACTATGGCATGTTTTATAAAAGCACTCTTTTGGAGATTCTAGTCCCAAAACATAATCTTTATTGTAGGCTAAAAGTAAAACCTATCTATTGCCATACTTTTCTCCACAGACGTCGACTTATTCTACAATGTCTTTAAAAAATACCAGGTTTCAGTCAAAATACTTTTGTAAAAATTGACAATGTGCTGTTTTAGCACAGTCACTCCTTGACCACGATCATTTTTACTCACTAGAGAAAAGACTCTCCTTACAAAAAGTATTTATAGGCCAAGATGTATGTATTTTTTTTTAAGTATAACTGTAATTGCTTTTAAAAAGAAATACAAAAACTGTCAAATGACTCAGATTAATACTTGTAAGCCTATTTATAAATTAGAGGAAACTTTATTAGATCTCATCATAGTCAAATTCAAATATTTTCAGTGTTTTAAAATAATTAACACTCAGAAACTTTTGTCTAATGGAAATCTGCAAGCGACTGAGGCCGAGGGTGAGGGAGGGCATGTGAACCAGGCTTTAGAGCAAACTTTCTCTTATCCTACCCCATGTCCCGTTAGATGGTGGGCGGGGCTTCACACTAATAAACACTCAGTTCATTCATTCACAGTAGAGAATAGTTTTTGTGGCAGTGATGTATGTCTCTTGTCTGCTCTTCATAGCTCACACGTAGATTTCTTTCGAGAAATTATAAGTGATAATCTTTATTAAAAATAAGTGAAAAACTGTTGATTTTTGGTATCGGCCCATCTCTAGTTAAAACTCCTGAAAACTCCACCATGAGGAATTTGAAGTTTAATACCATAGCATAGCTGACATTCTGACCTGATAATGTGATCAATTCACCTGCACAAAACAGCTGTAATCATAAACAGGATCATTTTGACAGTAACCAGGTAGTTTTAACCTAGTTTATTGATTTCAAAAGATTATAATTTATAATAAAAATGCAAATTACTGGTAAAGCAAAGAAAACAGATTATACAATTCTTCACAATCAGTCTACATAGCCAAACTGACCTGGGTACCCTCCTTTCCACCGCCATAATACTGGCCGCGAGGCCGCGGTCTTTTATCCAGGGTCTTGGATTTTTGAGGAGCAGGTTTCCTACCCTGCTCTGATCTGGAACCATTGCTGTTGGATGGCTCTCTGCGCCTTGATGACTTAGGAAACTGCTGCTTGTTAGCATCTGCAAAAGAAAAATGAATCACCCAATTTAAAGCTTGCTCTTTTTGTATTGAATTTTGCTGGATTGAAATACAGTAAGTAAAATAAAGAGTCTACTTTTGTAAATATAGGTAGAACATGTCACTTCTTTGTCACTTAGCCTAAATAACTTTGTATAGCCTAGCTCTTTATATGTTGAGTTTAGTAGGTAGTTCATAAGTTTAGACATAGGCCTAATTTCGAAAAAAAAAACACTCCATTTAATAATATAATTACCATATTCTATATATTAATGTTATAGCCTACTGTATTGCAGTACAAAATATGTAAATTATATATTAAATGGGGTGTTTCTTTTGTTGTGTATTGGATTACACAAAAGCATAAAAATGAAAACTTAAATTTAAAAAACAACAATAATGCAAATACACATTATAAATTGTAATTATAATAAATTGTCGTTGCCATTTTACTTCCTTTAATTACTTATGCATATGTCTATCGTCAGTTCTGTATAATTTTTATTATTAAGGTACCGGTAGTAAATTAAAAACAACTGAGCACCCTGAAATTAATATATCCATGAAGTGGCATGTTTCACCAATGGACCAAGTACATTTTCAAACTTCAATAAATAGGCTTACTAAATAGGTACCTAACTTTGTTAACAAGTACCTAAGGACTGAGCCTTGCTTGGTTGTAATTAATTGGGATTAATCGTTAAAATAATATCGTAAACAGACACGCTTTTATTACAAACCATAACTTAGACATTTGATTGCTGAAATGATTTAACAACTCTAAAATGTAAAAGTATGCAATGTGATGTAACTAAGATTAATTTTGCACCAATACTGAAACAGTTAAGGATGATAAAGAAAGGAAACCACTAAAAGTAGATTTTTAAAATGTGGTCTGAGTCAATGGAATCCGGGGATGCCATAGACTAAACAAAAACCGACGTTTTACATACTCAAACGCCAGCAAACAAGACCAAAGATGGTGGAAAAAATCTTCCTGTTTCTGTTGAAGAAATGCACTGTGACTAGTACAGTATGATGATTTTTATGAGTGCAAGCTCCAATACCATTACAAATGCATCCCAAAACAACATTTAAATTTGTAGCCTATGGCCTAGAAGAAGGGGATGAATATTATGAAAAGGTCGCTTTTATTTGCCATTTGTGTTGAGGTCAAAAGTGACAACAATTTGGTGAATATTTTAGTATTTTCACTAGATCCATAAGTCTAGCCTTGTTCCTAAGGTTTTAAAGTTATTTAGGCCCTATAGCCCATTGTGTTTTAGATGTTTTAATAGGCTATTGTTTGTTGTTTAACTTAGCATTATTGGGTTACTATAAAGTGCCAAAGACTAGAAAACAGGATGTCAATTATTAAACCACAGTGACAGTTAGGCTACAGTGCAAACCAGCTGAGTTTTACTCCATAGAGGCTAAAAACGAATTTTATTCCCTAAAGAGTAAAAATGCTACTTTAGACCCGCAAAGCATGCACCAATGACGACTGTTTTTACTGCAGTATGATAAAAACAATATAATATGAACCCTTGATGACTCCGCTCAATTTTGTGGATGCCTCTGCGAACGCCACCTAGTAATAAAGTTCCCAAAAAATCATCAATAAAATCATCTGTGTTTTTAACTACAGTTTCCATCAAGCATCTATCAACAGTATGTAATCAACCTTTAACTTAGGTCTACAATGGAAACTCCATGTACAATTTCGAAACTTAAATTTATTAATTATTATACAAAACTGATAGTGAAAGAAAAGAAAGGGGGTTCACAATAAATTGTACAAACAGTGGGAAATGAATTTACTTTAAAAACTTTAGGCTGGGCCTATTACAATGGTTTTAATTATTTAGGTTCAATGTTATAATTTACTGCAAGGATCTTTATCTCAGGTGGGGTGATCGAGCGGCATTTGAATTTAATCTTGTGATATAAGCCTAATTAAATTTTGTTTTAAAATATAAAGTATGTTCGAATTATAGATTGGTTGAATTAATAATAATTTTGAATAAGTTAAGCTTCTATTAGTTCTTGACTTTGAATTTGAGTACAAACGTCCAAAGGTTAGGCCTAAAAAAGTTTTAATGGCTTCCAAAGGTAAAAATGTCTATTGGAGTGATCTCACCAAAATTGATGTCTTCTTTGCCGTAAAATTCTTGATGTTATGAATGATTAAGGTTCGTAGCAAGGATGGTTCTTCTTTCAACAAATTTCACAAATTTTGTCCGAATAATGTACTTTTTTTTTATAAAATTTTGATATTAAATATGTAGTGTCTAATTTGCATCTTCATACTATCTTGGCTCTATTGGAAGTGATGAAGGTCTGATGCATTGTTGCACTCACATATGTCAAAGCTGACTTAATCACATAAAATTGTAGGCCACTGTTTACACTTATATATTATAACAAATTTCATTTGCTAGAGAGCTAAGTAAGTTAAATTATAATTTTGAAAAGTTATTGAAATAAAATTATAGAATTTGAAGCAATTTTGTTACAAAAGTTTTAGGCTATGATATATTTATATGAAGATTATAAGAAGATTTAAGTGATTTTGAAGGGCTGGTTGATGATCCTGAAGAAGTAATATGTAGTGATATTGATGTACCTAAATTATGAGCCAGATTCCTAGCTATGGTTAGGCTATGCATTCTTAGCTAAACGCTATGTAGGCCCTACCGAAATCTGTTTTTTGCCTATAACTTATTTATTTACAAACCTACTTCCTTATATTATTATATTTTTGGAATCCTCATAAAATTCTGAACAAAGTGGCTATTTTAAAATATTTGTAGACCTATAAACTATAACAATTTATTGATCACTACTTTTGATTTTTAACACTAAAACAATGATAAACTTAAATGTAATAAAACACATCAGTCATCGGTGTGAGGTTAACAAAGCTGTTTACAAATATGCACGTCAGCTGTCTGCTACAATATTTTCGGAACTAAAATGAAAAGCATATAGAAACAGACATCAGGAGAATAAAGCTCTGAATCTGCTGAAAAAAAAAACGATACCTAACTCGATCCAGTTCAATCCAATTCAGTCAGTCCCAGAGCCGTCGCCGCAAACAGTGTTTGTGAGTCGCAAAAGCGACACATAACAATACAGCGGATGTGTTATGAGTCGCTTTTACGACACATAACACTCGGAGGGTTAACAACTTAAGATAAAAAAGAATGCCACAAATTTTAACTCTCTAAGTGGAATGGTTTTCGAGTAACACAATATTAACAATTTCAAAACGCAGCACCAAAACGTTGATTTTTGGGTTTTTAAAGCTTTGTAGGCCTAGGCCTACCTAACTCAAAATCTTAAAGGTCAGAAAAAAATTATATTTTTACTAAGTTAGGCTAGTTTTGGTTTAGAACCTGCATACAAAAATCAAGCAAATCTGAGAGGTCAAGGCACTTTTATCCGTTGTAATCCTAGCTAATTGAAGTTTTATCCCGTGAATTCCTTTTGAAATTTATTATTAAGTGTATGCTGAGTATTTTGAGGTATAATTTATGTAATTTTATCCAAAGCATATAAGGAATTTCTTCATAGATCGGTTGACCTCATGTTACATACCCTCAAGAGGTAACTTCAAAAAGACTGTTTTAGAAATTTATTAAATATTTTACTTTCATATGCTGTTTTACGGCAGAGCTTGTACTTTGGTATTATTTTGTGAAATTTGGTGAAAGACTTTTAGTATTTTAATTTAAATTGAGGTTTAGGGGAGAGTGGTACAAGGTGGGACACGGTATATAGTGGGACATTCCATATAACTTTTTTATCTTCAAAGCCATGTGGCCAGTTTCCCTCCAAAAGTGTTAAGTCATGGCCAACAGTGTGTTTTAAGTTAGTTCTGAAGTTTCAGTCATGTTGGAAAGTACTGAATGACAGTCTGCTACAACTATAGTCTCAAAAGTTACATTTTTGAGGTAAGCAATCATCATTTTCTTATGAAATTAGTTTGATAAACAGGATAAATTTGGTATGCCTAACATTAAAAAACCTTCTTTGTTCAATAGAAGGAGGTCAGGGATGTCTGAGTTGCACTGTTTGGGGTAAAACTTAAAAACAATATAACCCTACATGTGGTACAAGTTGGGACAGTTATTTGTGGTATATAGTGGGACAATGTTAAATAAGGTGGTACAAAGTGGGAAATCGGTACATAGTGGGACAAGCAATTATAATTGATTTATTATACTATTATAGCAATTCATAATAGGCTATAAATACAAGCATACCCATATAAATATATGACATGCCTCATCTGCTTGGTAGGTTACCAAGAATAGGACCTAGGGTTTGTTAAAAAAAAAAAAACCCTTAACTTACTTCTCATGGTAAACTCTAACACGGTTTACCCAGAAACACAACCATTGTCATAATTTTGTGTTAGGCCTAGGTATTTTTAAACTGTTTAGTACTTATATTTTCAATTAAACAATTCCTTTCTACTTTTTTACCTACTTATAACATAAATAGAGTTTTAGCGGGGTTGGTTTTATGCCGAAGTAGACCTACATTTAACTCTTAAAATATAGACACATTCATTCATATCATAGTTATTCATTAAAGAACATTATAGTGGAATTTTACAAAAAACAATTATTTTTTCAGGTCCATAATGCCGAAGATTTGCCGCAAGAAGTTTTTGGAGCATGCAGAAGATGGAGCAATTTCGAGCCTTATAGCCTAGTTTAATTACTAACTATTTACAAGTCACATATATCAATAAATTTTTTAATTTGTCTGAAACTGTCTTATTTAAGTATACCTCCTATGCATAACAGGATGTCCCACTTTGTACCATTTATTGTCCCACTTTGTACCTTATGCTGTCCCACTTTGTACCATATTGCTGTCCCACCTTGTACCAGGGTCGGTACATGTTGGGACAAGTGGTATAAAGCGGGACAAACGGTTTTTGGCCTTTTAAATATAAGTTAATAATTTTGAAAAAAATATCATTAAAAGA